ATACATTCTGTCCTCTGCAGCTCTTCTGTGTTGCACGTCATTACTTTGAGACAAACAAGGTCAATCTAACGTAAATGCTTTTCAATATATGTTACATATCTGTCCTTCCTGCACAATGAGCATGAATCTAAAATTAAATTATTAATATTCCCCAAATTCCAATTAACTACTCTTCTGGCTGTTGGTAGATAAACACTGCAATAATACTGTAAACTTTAAACAATTCATATATTGTTCATAGTTTGAAGTTAAACAATTCGAAGCTGTAGTTTGAAGCCAAGTGGTTTTTATTTGTCTATATTTAGGGTATTGTTCATTGTTCAATTTCATGTATGGGTTCAGACACTGGTATTGTTTTAAATGTGTCGGTTTAGCATCGGTAGCTGGTTAGCTTAGCATAACGACTGCAGACAAGAGGGCTCGAACGGGAGGTTTAACGACCCGGATTCAAGAGTTTATATATTTCCGACTTGAAACAATGGACCAAAATCAAAAATCGTTCTTTATTTATTCTTTAAAGTGTTTGCTTTCAAGATCAAGATGAACGGGTCATAGAAAACAAACAGAGCAAAGTGTTTTATGCAGCATGTGAAGTGGATGAGCTCCATCAATACAGATACACCGTCCACACACACGTTTACTTTAAAGGCTCATTTCCATATTCAAGATACCTTCACTGTAACCATAGAGACGTGACATCATGATGGAACATTTCTCCATGTTCCATGTTCTAAGCTCCATGTTCCATGTTCTAAGCTCCATGTTCTATGCTCCGTTCACCTCAGCATAAGAAACACTGTCTGTGGCACATTCAGTCAGTTAGTTTCAAACTACACACACTGAAGTTTTCCAGAGAGAAACTTGCAGAAAGTAACCGTAAGGCCTCAGGAGTGTGAAGAGGAGATGAAGACGCCTTCTGCTGCACTCAACAGAGCTGAAGGTAAGTGAGGAGTCCAGACAGACTGCAGCCGTACGGCTGTGAATGATGTGATGTGTCGGTGTATCGCGTGGTGAAAGCTGTGATTTACAGTTAGTACCTTGAGATAAACCTCTGATTCTTGCTGTTATCATGTACATGTACACAGAGACGCATATAAAAGTACTTACACAGAGACACTCTAACATGTTGTTATGCACAGAGACTCGCTAAACATGAAAAGCATATACAGAAATACACTTTAACAACCACATTATATAATGTAGATACAAACATGAAATAACTAAATGAAGGTGCATCAAATTAAAATAATTGGATCTATGAATGTTTTCTCACATCCCGATGATCCTCGTCACGTCTCTTCTCCTTGTCTCTGCAGACCAACAGGACGCAAACAGGACGTCATCAGGACGCCATCAGGACATCATCAGGACGTCACGTCACCGGGGCGCGCTGAGAGTCGACCCCTCAGGAGCAGCTCCAGATCCACACAAAGACTCACTAACGTTTCTATTTTCCAACAGGCCCTTTTCCCCCTCTATCACTTTCTGGCCCTCTCCCCACCCTCCACTCTCTCTCTTCTTTTCCCCCTCTATCTGTTTCTGCCCCCACTCTCCCATTGTCCCCCCCACTCTCTTCCCCCCGCCCCCATCACTCTCCCTTCCTCCCCACTTCATTTTTTTCATTTTTCATTTTTTTCATTTTTCATTTTTTTCATTTTTCATTTTTCATTTTTTTCATTTTTCATTTTTTTCATTTTTCAAACGAACAAAACGTTTGACCTGGATTTGCTCCATATATGTGTGTGTGTGTGTGTGTGTGTGTGTGTGTGAGAGACTTTCTTCAGGTGTGCTGGGGACGTCCCTCCTGCAGCTGACCATCATGGGGGTAAATGGCTGTGCCGAGCCAGTGTGGGGGGATCTTCAGTGGAAGCCAGAGCGGAACCAGAGACGCGTGAAAAAGGAAAAGGAAAAAGGAGCCGTAAACAATAAATGTTTCCTGATTCCTGTTGGAGATGTTGTTCTACACACTAACAACATTAACTTGTTACTAACTTTTCTTTCTTTCTTTTCAGGAACTAAACATGAAAAGCATATACAGAAATACACTTTAACAACCACATTATATAATGTGGATACAAACATGAAATAACTAAATGAAGGTGCATCAAATTAAAATAATTGGATCTATGAATGTTTTCTCACATCCCGATGATCCTCCTCACGTCTCTTCTCCTTGTCCCTGCAGACCAACAGGACGCCATCAGGACGCCATCAGGACATCATCAGGACGTCACGTCACCGGGGCGCGCTGAGAGTCGACCCCTCAGGAGCAGCTCCAGATCCACACAAAGACTCACTAACGTTTCTATTTACCCACAGGCCCTTTTCCCCCTCTATCACTTTCTGGCCCTCTCCCCACCCTCCACTCTCTACCTCTCATTTTCCCCCTCTATGTGTTTCTGCCCCACTCTCCCGTTTATTGTGTTTTTTTTTGTTAAATATGTCACGTGTTTATTATTATTTGAAAATAAATTTTGATAAAAATAAAACCAAACGAATCCATTTTCTTTTTTTCAGACCAAAGAGAATCACGTGTTCTTTATTACTTGTTGACTTAAATGAAGTGAAACAGCAATGATGTTGCTGCAGGACAAACTCTCCCAGCTGCACGTGCCCGACTCCACCTGCAAGTGGATCACTGACTTCCTGTCTGACAGGAAGCAGCACGTGAAGCTGGGGAAACATGTCTCAGCCTAAAGTAGATGTTTCCTACATGGAACATTTTGATTAAAACATGAATGTTTCTAAGAAATGAAGTCAGGCAACTGAAAGCACAAACAAATCCAATAAAACAAATTCAAACCCCGAGTTCAACAAGATGTGTGAGCGATCAGAAAAATGCGTGTTAACTGCTCCCAAAATGACAAATCCTAAATATTCTAATAGGCTAATTTACTCGCTCCAACGTTAATGGTAACTTGATCTCAACCGTCTCTAGTGACTAAAATCAGCCAACGAATCAGAGGGTTTGTTCCCGTCGTCGATGTTCAAGACAATTTTTGAACCCTGTAACACATCTAGTTGTCTTTTTATTCATTATGGTATAATACTAAATACTAAATTAATGTATTAAATAATAGTTAGACACAAATCTATCGATACGAATCTTGTTGGAGAAGTGATGAACTACTAGATAACAACTCTTGTGGAGCACAGAAGAGGCTGAAAAAGGTCCTCAGGCGGCTGTGATTGGGACCTCCGGTGTGCAAGTAAAACAACTTTCTGACCCCCTTCAGTCCTTAGAAGGGCTCCCAGGTTACAAATGAGTACGGCACATTGAGTTTAAAGGTGAAAGAAATATTTATGGGTTTTGATTTTGCGACCAGTGCAATCTCCCCCACTCCCTTTTCATGTGGAATGTCCTGACGAAGAGCCAACCCCAGTCCTCCAGATGTCAGGCGAGTCCACCAAGCAGGCAAGAGGATGACAAGGGCCGAGGAACGGAGAGGACGACCACGTGGACACGGCCCGTTCCACTTCAGGCCTTGGCCCCTCCTCCAGATGACCAGGGAAGAGGACCTCAGGGAGGCAGCGCCCTCCACCTCAGGCCTCGGCCTTCTCAATGAAGAGCCGAGCAGATGAGTACCTGTTGTCGTCCAAATGGGCCGACCTTCCCTGTAGGCTTTGCTCAGGCTCAAAGGCATAAAGGCGGCAGCATATTTTGTGAG